TAAGGATGTGCAACAGAGGTGGAGAGTTGTCCTAGAATGCACCCCCTGGGGCTTCACTTTAGAACTGGGGTAAACCGTCAGTAATGACCAGCTTCTCCTGGTTCCTTTATGTCCCAGCCTCTGGCAGCATTAAGCCGACTGTTCAGAATGTGAGATCCGAGTTCCAGGCGTTTATTCACACAGACGTGATCCTACACGGACAGATGTCAAAAATATGATTTGTTTGTTGTTGTTGAATCAGGCTCTCTATCATACAGATTTGGCTGTCTCGAAACTCACTAGGTAGACTACGTAGACCAGGCTGGCTTCTAAGTCATAGATATTCCCCTGCCTCGCCTCCTGGTCAAAGGTGTGCACTGTCACTCCCAGCGTATGACTTTATTTTGAGGGAGGATCTCCTGTAGCTCAGACTGGTCTCAGTCAGCCATTGACCAGACAGTCATCATCCACACTTGTTTTGAACATCAGTATTTAAAAAAAAAAAAGCTGTGGATAAGCGGTGGTGGTGTTCAACTTCATCCCAGCCTTCTGGAGGCAGAGGCATGGCCCTCTGAGTTCAAGACCAGCCTGCCTGGTCTATAAAGCGAGCTTCCAAGCCACACAGATAAACCCTGTCTTGAAAAACAAATGAACCAACCAACAAACAAAAGAACAAAAACAAACACAAACAAAACAACAACAACAAAGGCTGTGGTGATCCACAGTATCAATGGTTTGAAATTCTGTAAGGCAGACAGTCAACTGTCTAACCTAGAGTTCGTTTTAAAGATTTAAGATGCAAATATAACATTTTCTAAGTACTTACTTTACACCAAATCAATTTTACAACTACAAGAACCTGGTGAGGTAGAGATGGTTATTATCCCCATAATAATAGTCCATAGAGGTTAAGCAACTTGCTGTGATGTTGAATTCTAGTAGTTTGTCTCCAAAGTCTGAACTGGTGTTAATGAGAAACGCAGGGCACACATGGACAGAAACAGAATAAAACTTTTTTTAAGTTTAACTTTTGTTAATCATTAAAACATAGTTATTTCTGATTGATTAGCAGATGGAATAAGATTTCAAACTTTTCTCTTAATTTTTTCCATAGCAATTTGACTTTCTGAAAATTTTAGTGGGTTTTCTTTGCATAACAACTCATTATTTCCTACCTCTAACAATGTTTCCGGACTTGCTTTTTCAGAGGAGAGATCTTTGGCTAGCCAAAATTGGCAAAGGTGGTCATTGCAGGCATTGGCATGTTGGAGAAGCCCTGGGAGAGCTTTGGCTGATGAAGTGGGTTTGTGGTTACCATGACAACAAGGTAACATTGCCATCAAGGTATTCATTGTTAGTTTGCGTCACAGAGAGACTACTCAAAGACGAGCATAAAAGAGCACAGTTCTAGAGAACTAAGATTGTCTGTCTACAAAGAACTGCTAGAATTTTTGTTTGTTTGTTTTGTTTTCAAAGTCAACTTATGGGCTGAAGAAAATCACTCTCTGCTTAGAAGCACTTGCTGCTCTTACAGAGGATCCCATATCAGTTCCTAGCATCCATGTTGGAGGGCTCATGACTGCCTGTAACCCTAGCTCCAGGGAATTGGCCATTCTTTTCTGGCTTCTTCAGGTATAGCACTCATGAGCATATATGCACACACAGATACATAATAAACATAAAAAGAAAATCTTAAAAATAACAAATGTCAGCTTATTATAGTCATGAAGTAACTTCTAGGGATAAGTCTGAAAGAGTTTACAGAAGTGGAGAAGAGGGGATATGCAGGAAAGAATGTTTTTTTGTTGTTGTTGTTGCTGTTTTGTTTTCTTAATTGTCAAATGTCTTCCCTGTTAAGAACAAAATCAGGTCAAACACAGACTCTTGATTAGATCTATCTAAATGAAGTTCTGTGGAAAAATAAGAATAATTTTGCACTAGCAAAACAAGAAAGCATAAGCCTTGAATGCAACAATAGGCCCATACTGAACCTTACTGTTTGGCCCATGGATTTGATAGTGAAAAGACTTGTCACAGCTTTTCCAAGCTATGAGGTTATCTGAGGCGGGTGTGGTGTGCGTGTGCGTGTGCGTGTGTTTGTGTGTGTTGCACAAGCCTGTGCTTTGCCATGGAGGTTGGATCATATGAATCATTCTTCAGTTCAAGTCAGTTAAACATGAGACGATATGACAAAAGTCGTGTGTGTGTGTGTGTTTGTGTGTGTGTGTGTATGTGTGTGTCTGTTCGTTTTAGCGTAGACACAGGAGTGGAAATCATGTCATCACACCACTTAAGTAAATATAAAATTATTTGGTTTAATACTTTATAATTAAGAAAGGGTTTGAAGTTCTTTTTGATAAGTGCTTGAGACTTCTGTAGACTTGTTTAATGTTGCTGTTTTATGTTATCATTTACTTTCTCTTTCTGTTTTTCTCTTCCTTCCTTTCTTTCCTTCTTTTCCTTCCTTCCTTCCTTCCTTCCTTCCTTCCTTCCTTCCTTCCTTCCTTCCTTCCTTCC